ATGTTACCAGGAGGGGCGGGTCCTTGGAGAGGGACATCATGCTTGGGAGGGTGGAGGGACAGCGCAGGAGGGGAAGACCCTCTATGAGATGGATTGATTCAGTGACTGGGGTAATCAGGATGGGTGTGTCAGAGGCGGTGTGGTTGGCGCAGGATAGAGCAGGGTTTAGGGCAGTTGTGCATAGGGTCGCTATGAGTTGGAAACGACTCGATGGCACGTAACAACATTTTTACAATACTTCTCTTAATGCAGTCAGGAAGATCCTCAATCACACGGACTGACATAGTGACTGCTGCAATGGGCTCTTGTGTGTCAGAAACTGTGAGGCTGGCACGGGACAGAACAGGGTTCAGATCTTTTGTTCCTAGGATTGCTGAGTCATACCTGGCTTGATAGCACCTAACAACAACAACACAGGAGAGACTGCATTCTACATAAATATTTTTCTTTTGATTCCCTGTCTCTGGGGTATTCAATATGCTCTGGGGTGGTTTTTTTTTTTTCTTTCACAGTTTTTGGAGCTGGCTATTGCTTTTATGCTGTGTAAAGTTTTTCTTGGCATGTGATAGATCCTTTCTGTTGTAGACACACAAAGATTGTTGATGATTATTTTTATAATGCTATTGATTAATTTCAGGCTTAAAGTTTTCAGTCCAGGGGTGGGTAACTTGCTTTACTGGAATTCCTTTCTCGGCCTGTGGAGCAGGAAAGTTTGCTTTTCCTCTAATCCTTCAGATCCTCTCAGGTCGGCACTGCCGGAATCTTGCCTTATTGTAGTCCCCTCTCCCAAAGTCTCCTTTGTCTACGTAGTGATGTGATCAGTTTCCCCACTTTAATGTGCCGGCTGTAGAAGTGAGTTTTTCCACCTGAGTGCAACTCTTTCTCTAAATTCTGTTTTCCTTTTTGGTCTATGGAACGGCCTTGTGTCTGCTAGAATCCCCAAACTGATGAATTTTTCTCCAGGAGAGTTGTAGGCCCCTCGCTTCCCAGTACCTGAGTATGCTTGCTCAGGGCTTGAGTTTCTCTCCTGATTCTCTCTCTCTCCTGAAGTTTATTGTCCTCTTTTGTCTGAGTTGTGACGTGACCAGGTTACTCAACTCAGGCAGTTTCTGTCCAGGGGATTTTGTAGGGAGCTCCCTTGCTAGCCCTTCAGTGTGCCAGCTGTGGAAGTGAGCTTCTGACCTGATTGCAGCCTCCTCTCTTAAATCCGATTGTCCTCTTTGGTCCATGCGATGCTCCCAGTAGCCAGGATCCCCCAAGTAGTCTACATAGTATTTAATCTTTAAACATTATAAATAATAATTATGTGTTATTTATATTGAGCCAAATTGACTCTTCTTCAGATTCTAACAGGAATGGTAGATGACATCATAACAAGAATAGAGAAAAATAATATTGTTGGCATCTTGATCGATACTAACATGTGATTTACTCCTTTATGAGTTAAGGCTTAATCTAGCACAGAAAACTTCATTTTTGGAGATCTACTTCTCTTTTTCTGAAAAGTGCTATCATTCAACTCATTGCTGTTGAGTCAGAGCTGAATCTCTGACAAAGAATACAGCAGGTTTTTGGAGACTGTAAATAGCAAAGGAGGTTATTGTCCATCTTTGTCTTGCACAGATGCTGGTGGATTCAAACTGTCAGAGAGGTGCCACCTCTGTGTTAGTAGCCCAAATCCTTGCACTGTGCCACCAGGGCTCCCAAGGAACCAGTGTGGGATGAAAAAAGCAGAAGACTGTGTTTCCTGAATATACAGTTGAAAGGGGAGGCTTTATAGTGTAATGGTTAATATTATGATGATTTTGTAGTTAATACAGACCGATTAATTTTGGGCAAGTTGTTTAGTCCTTCTAATTCCTGATTTCCTCATTTGTAAAATGATGTTAACAATATCTTCTCATTTTATAAGATTATTGTGAGAATTAAACAAAGTGAATGCATGTGAAGTCCAGACATGATGATTTATAGTATAATTGGTGCTATGTTTATCACTATTGTTTAAGATGTGGGGAATTGAAGTGAGGTGAGTGTACAGTTGAATTACTGAGAAGGTTCTGGATGGTAAAGAAGGTGGTGGAACTAGGAATATAAAATTTAGACAAAACATTATTGGATTGTTGTTGATTAAAATATGTAAAAAACTAGCTGTTGACTGTTTCCTCAAATGCTGTTAACCCATGACAGTGACGGGAACAAGGATCATTAAAGATATCTCTGAACCCTTTTATTATAGGAAAAAAGTCTTCTGTGGATTGATGTGGTTTTGATTGGCTTAAGATGATGCTATAAATGGCTCTTTAAAAGAAGTGCATCTCCCAATGGGAATGCAGTAATTAGCAACATTAACTTAGATTTCAAAAGACTACTGTCCTAAATTAATTTGTTCAACTAGTCTTATTTTTTTCTTCCCTTTTGGACAATGTTTAGTGGAGCTCCCAGATTAAGATATGTTTGGAAGCAGGACTGGCATCCACTTCCTAAACAACATGCCTCTGGAAACTGTGAGAAACGACGATAGTTATAGAAAGACTCAGGCCTTTTGTTCATAGGATCGCTATGAGTCATGCTCAACTCAGTGACAATCAACAATAGTACATGAATTAGGTGATGAACCCAGTTGAATTTTTAGTTTTCAGGAAATGGTTTGCAGAGTGAACCTATGTCCTTTTGCTGCTGAATGAATGTCTCAGAAAAGGAACATGTGCCAGATAACACTGTTATTGTGCTGAAAAAGGAGCATCTTGTGTTATAACCATGAAGATTGTTCCTGTGCTAGCTTTTCAAATGGAAGTTGTAGTTTTTGATTTCTTGGAAGCTTCTTTTGTAAAAAAGTACATTTTTGAGTAAACTTTTTATATATATATGTGTGTGTGTGTATATAGATAGATAGATAGTAATTACATATACTAATATCATATATCAGCTCTGGTGGCCTAGTTGTAAGAAGCTGCACCGTAATCCTGAAGGCACGTGGTTCAAGGCCACCAGTTGCTCTATGGGAGAAGGATGGACAGTCTCCTTCTGTATGTGATTTACTGTCTTTGAAAACCCGCTAGAGGGTCAGCTATGGGTTAGTTCTGACTATGGTACACAACAACAATATCATATAAGAATAAAAGAAATTTTATACTATTGATCTACCACTGCTATATCTTTTGGTGTTCTTCCTTTCAGTAGTAGATGCACATGTATTTGGTTTATTTATAATCACCGACCATGATTACAGATCTCAGGAGATATCAACAAATTCTTACTACCAAGAGATCCCCAGATGATTATTTTTTTGCTCAGTATAGCCAAGGATCATATAGTATAGATTCTAAAGAAAGCTCTGAATATCAGTCTCACTTCCGCCACTTACTGGTTGTGTGACTTTAGTCAAGTTACTTAACTGCTTGGTATTTATTTTTTCACCTGTGAAATGACAATTATTGAATCCATATGCAGAATTGTTGTGAAGATTGAATGTGCTGTACCTTGCAAATAGAAGTACCTGAGAATAGAAGAACATAATAAGTGCTTGATAGGCGCTAGCATACATTGACAGAGAACTACCAAAAATACAAGCTGGGTTTAGAAGAGGTTGTGGCACTAGAGACATTATTGCCAGTATCAGATGGATCTTGGCAGAAAGCAAAGAGTACCAGAGAAATGTCTGTCTGTGCTTCATGGACTATGCAAAGGCATTTCACTGTGTATCACAACAGATTGTGGCTAACCTTGAGGAAGATTGGAGTCCCAGAACACTTGGTTGTGCTTATGCAAAACCTATACTTGGACCAAGAAGCAATTCTCAGAACAGAGCAGGAAAACACTGAATGGTTCAAAATCAGGTCTCCATATCTTTTCAATCTGTATACAGAACAGATCACTCAGGAGGCTGGGCTTTAAGAGGCAGAATGTGACATCAAGATTGGAGGAAGACTCATCAACAACCTACTTATGGAGATGACACAACCTTCCTTGTTGAAACTAAGGCACACCTGAATTGAAGTACTTGCTGCAGAAGGTCAAGGACTGTAGTCTTCAATACAGAATGAAGTTCAACATCAAGAAGACAAAGATTTGCACCACTGGGCCAATTGATAGCACTTAGATAGACGGAAAAGAGATTGAGGTTAACAGTTGCAGCTTGCTTGGCTCCACAATCAACACTCTTGGCACCAAGCAATGAGGAAATCAAAAGGCAAATTGCATTAGGTAAAGCTGCCGAAAGAAATCTTTCCAGAGTACTGAGAAACAATAATGTCAGTCTAGAGACCAAGGTGCACCTGATCCAGGCTATGATCTTCGCAATTACCTGCTATGCATCAGTGAGCTGGAAAATGACTAAGAATGACAGAAGAGTTGTCCTGGAGAAGAGTCTTGAACATACCATGGACTGCCAAGAAAACAAATAGGTCTGTCTTGGGGAGGGTGGAATCATGTTTGTCTTTGGAGATTAGGATTTTGAAGCTCCATCTCACATACTTTGGGCTTGTGGCCAGGAGGGACCAATCCTTCAAGAAGGACATCACGCTTGGAAGAGTGGAGGGACAGTGCAGGAGACGAAGACCCTGGATGAGATGGACTCACACAGTATCTTGGGAAATGGGGATAGGTGTGTTGGGATCAGTGAGCCTGGCTCAGAATAGTGCAGGCTTCAGAGCTGTTGTACAGAGGGGTCACTATGAGTCACAGGGGACTCGGTGGCACATAACAACAACATCTAATAATAGTCTTAAATTGTTTTAGCTTGATGTGATATGTTGGGTAGAGAATCTTGTTTTAACATAAACAGAATTAATATCTGAATGCATTTGCTATAAGATTTGTTTGATGAAATTTTACTTCTGGTTTTTTTACATGGAAATGTATTTCAAGTTTAAAATTACTGGAACTTATTATAAGCTGTCGTTTTTCAAATTAATTACTGCTTATTATTATTAATTTTATTACTGATAAAATATAAATCCAGCTTTTAATTTCAGATTTTAATTTTGTGCTTTCTCCGTAAGTGCTGGCCAAGATATCCAAGGCACAAGTGTGATTGCAAATCTTCCATATCTGATGCGGCAGAATCCCACGGAGACCCTTCGGAGAGTTTTGCCACAAGTCAGAGTAAGTTGGTGTGAACCAAGATTTGAATTTCCAGTTTTTCTCCTGTAGTGTTTAATCATAGTGGGGAGAAGAAAAAAAAACCTCAGAGCTTAAATGGCTGATCTTTTGTACTTAATAATTGAATGGAAGTGCTATGTACCTTTTGAATTATAATGAAAGTATCCAATGTGATCTTCAGTTGTTCTTTGAATAAAGTTCATCTCAGTAACTCAAAACATTTTCACTTTTCTTACACCTTCATAGATGTTTTATTTGACATTCTCTTAATTTAAACTTATATTAATAAGGATTTAAGGGCTCTGGTGGCCTAGTGGCAAAAAAGTTGCACTGCAATCCTGAAGGCACTTGGTTCAAGGCCACCATGGGAGAAGGATGGACAATCTCCTCCCTTGCAATTAATTGCCTCTGGAAACCCACCAGAGTGTCAAGTATGGGTCAGTTCCAACTCTTTGGTACACACAACAACAACAATAATAATTTCAGCAATATCTAATGTTCTGTGAGTGTTAGTAATAAGGATGAGCCTGTTGTGACTTTTGAAGAATAAATAAATGGAGATTGAATTATAATCTTCACATTTTAGTTTTAACATACTTTACTAAACTATTTAAAAATTGATTATCTTGCTGTGAACCAAATGTTTTATCTACTAAATTGACTTCCTACTGACTGTTTCAGAGACAATAAGGTTGGCTCAGGATAGAGCAGGGTAGGGTCACTATGAGTCGCAAGTGACTCGACTGCACATAACAACAACCACCTTTAACAGATGTTTATTGAATTCCCACTATGTACAAAGTGCTGTTCTTGGTAAGAATCTGAACAGATGGAGGAGATAGCAGCCTGTGTACTCTCAGGGAGTCTTTCTTTACTGGGCTCAGGAATTTGCATGCTGATGGGGTTTGTGTCTATGAGAGTGAATTTTGAGCTACTTGTTCATACATTTTTCTTTATAGATGTGCACTGAAACCACTAATTATGAATGTGTTTCCGGGTGTTTATATTTATTATGATTTTAGGGCCCCTGCTCACTAGAAGGTCAACTCTTTGAGCCTGCCTGCCTCTCTCTTTGGGAGAAAGATGTGACAACAGTTCTATTCTATTCCATAGGGTTGAAATGAATGAGCATTTCCTCAGCAGCAATCAATGGGTTTTAGCAGGGTTCCAGTTAGTGTGGTTTATGTCTGGGATTTGGGTACCATGTTATTTCCAGAAGTTTCCCACATTTCAGTGCAAGTAATATCAATTTTTTTTACTGGTTACAATGATGAATTAATAGAGAAGATGTTTTGTCTTATTTGTGATTCCAAAGTGAATCAAAGGAAAGTAGAAGCATAATTTTCATTGTTGTAGAAATAAATGTAACAACATTTGTCACTGTTATTTTTTTCTAGAATCATATTAGATCTAAGTAAGAGTAGTAATTTTAGTGGGTGAATCAAGAAGTTAGAGTAGTAATTTTATTATTCTCACTATAGTGAGTAAGAATAGTAATCTTACTACAGTGAATATGAGTAGTAATTTTAATGGAATTAAGCCTGTACAGTCCAGATTTAAATTCACATCTATTTTAATTGATATTAGTGGACCTGCACTTGTTAACATGATATCTGGAATATCAGTTGGACAGTAGTTGAATGGATGGTTAAGATCTCCTTTCTAAGAATTTAATGTAAGTCAGTGAGTTGCAGTGTAGGCAGCATTTTGGATGTACTGAGTTCCAGTAAGCAAGAACAAAAGACAAGAAATAGAGAATAGTAACTTTCAGAAGTCTCAAAATTATTTTGCAAAAATAATTTTTGCTAGTGGCTCAACAAAGGAAATTAAATAAATTAGGAAAAACATTTCATGGGAGTGCAAATTTTTGTACAATATTTTGTATAAAGAATCAATTCTATCTTCTGAAACTATGAGACGAGTCACAGTGACAGAAAGAATATTAATTAACTTTTAAAAGTAAGATGAATTTATAATGTATCTTTAATCTTTAATTCTACCTTGCTTTACTTGTGGCTACTTCCAAGTGATAAAACCCTGACAAGATCTCAAATAGTCACCTTATTCACTTTTATTGTGGTCTTTGTTTCTTAGTTAAATTTCTAGATGAAAAATGTCTTTCCCCAAAGTGAACATTTAACATACTGTCATTCTCGTACCTCCATTGATATTTACTGAATGCCTCCTCCACTAGGCACTTTATGAAGAACAGGGAAACAGGTGAACAGAACAGACTGGAAACTTGCCCTCAAGGAGGTTAGTGTCTAGAGGGGAAGCAGACACTAAAAATAGGTGAATCAATCACACACACACACACACACACACACACACACACACACACACACACACTCTCTCACTCTCTCTCTCTCTCTCTCGTAATTTATGATAAGGGCTCTGAATGTAAGGAAGAGAAGACTATAAAGTAAAGTAATGAGAGACCCTGGTAGTGCAGTGGTTAAATGCTGGACACTTAGCAGTTTGAATCTACCAGCTGTCTGTTAGGAAAATGTGACAGGGGTAGGTCTGCTTTGTTCTGTAGGGCCACTGTGAGTTGAAATAGTCTTGATGACAGTGTATTTGTATGATTTGTTGGGTTTTTTTTACTGTGTTTTTGGATATCAAGGACCACCTCTTTAAGGAGGTGGCCGTTTCAAGTGTTGGAGAATAATCGAACCATGCAGAGAGCACCACATAGTCCTAGAGTGAAAAGAGTTTGGTGGAACTAAAGCATCAAGTGTGGTTGGAATCCATTGAGTACGAGTAGTTAGAGATGTGGTCAGAGGCCAGAATATACAAGACTGGGTCTCCACCCTTGTGCAGTGGAAAACCACTGAAGGCTTTTAAATAGGGCCTGACATAATCACATTAACTTTTTTTTTTCAGAGATTGTTTCGATTAGTTGATTATTATGGACTGTAGTATGGCATTAGAAGCTGTAGTTTAGTCTTAGGGATAGTGGCCTGAATCAGCACAGAAAGTTAGGACAATAGAGGGTAGTGATCTTATCCTTTAGGTGGTGGTGGTGTTGTTATGTGCCGTCGAGTCGTTTCCGACTCATAGCGACCCTATGCACAACAGCCCTAAACCCTGCTCTATCCTGCGCCAACCGCACCGCCC